TTGGTGGTAGTGGGATGAACTGGGAGACTGGGATTGACATATATACACTAATATGTATAAAACGGATAACTAATAAGAACCTGCTGTATAAAAAAGTAAATAAAATAGGGGCCCTGGTGGCACAGTGGTTGAGAGTCCTCCTACCAATGCAGGGGACACGGGTTCTTGCCCTGGTCCGGGAAGATCCCACATGCCGCGGAGCGGCTGGGCCCGTGAGCCGTGGCCACTGAGCTTGTGTGTCCGGAGCCTGTGCTCCGCAGTGGGAGAGGCCACAGCAGTGAGGGGCCCACATACTGCAGAAAGAAAAAAATATATATAAATTAATTAATTAAAAAAATAGAATTCAAAAATTTTTAAAAAAAGCGAGAAATGGTAAACATGCAAAAACTAGTTACAAAATGATTTCTGTTTTGGCAAGGAAAGCAGTGAAATGAAGCAGCCACAGTAAAAGTACAAAAATTCCGCTGGATGGAAAGGTCACAAAGGCCCAGATGTAAAGCCTTGTCTACACTGGAAAGTAGGAGAAAACGAGGGCTGAGACCTGAGACGTGAGCCTAGTCTTCCGTGTAGACACTGCCATGGAAGGCAAAGTGGGACACTTTTCACTGTCCTGGGTCAGCTCTTGCTAGTCAGAGGTGCTAAAAGGAGGCTTCTGACCAGATGGGCAATTTCTACCACCCAGACCAAGCAGGTTGATCACTGCCCAGGTCACCAGATCCTTCCCCAGGACAGGCTCTTGTACGGTCACCCCCGCTGCGCATCCCCTTCCCCCCAGGTGAGCGCCACACAACCAGACACGCTGCCCTGAAGTTCAAGAGCAGCAGCGATGTGACACGTTGGTGGTAACAATCCTCCAGGATTGGGTTAGACCAGTGGTCCCTGACCTTCTTGGCACCAGGGACTTCGTGGGAGACAATTTTTCCCTGGACCGGGGTGGGGGTGTTAACACGAGCGATGGGGAGCGGCAGGGAGCGGCAGATGAAGCTTCGCGTACTCCCCCGCCGCTCAGCTCCTGCCGTGTGGCCCGGTTCCTAAGAGGCCACGGACCAGTACCGGTCTGCGGCCCGGGGGTTGGGGACCCCTGGGTTATACAAAGGGCTCTGTATATAAGTTATTCTATAACAAATACATATGGTAAATATACGAAATAATTCATTCAGTGTTTTCTATAACAAAGTAATGGATTTAAATGAACACAGACAAGTAGATTACATGGAAGAGCATGTTATTCCATGTCATTTTCATTTAACCAATAGTACAATTCAAAAATATCGCAATACAGTCATTCTAATACAGAATTTCATCAAAAGCAGGTTTTTAGAACAGGGCTATATTGTAAGATTTCATTTCAGTGATAAATGTTGTGTTAGATAATTTAAACAGATTTTTTTTTCCCCAGATGGATTTCCCAGCATTTTTAGTATGCTAATGTGCTTTTTGTAGATTTCCAAGAGGGGAATAAACTGTGCAGCAGTTGAAAACTGTTTTGATCACAGAACCTCAGGACAGGATATTTTGCTGGACCAGAGAGCTGTATAATACAATTTTGGAAACGCTGTTCCACTGAATTCTGTACTGCCCTATAACATATGAAAACCACTGTACAACCCCCTGAGAAACTAAGAATATAAACCGTATGAAGTGTTAGCTTCTGAAATTGACAAAAGTGTATCAGATTACCCATCTATCAGGGTATGTACATTCAGAAGTTAATTAAGAAATCAACTGACAATGTCTAGAACAGTTATGCATGTTAATCAATAAAGATGGACTAAAATCAATGAAATACACCTGGCTAAGCAAAACAATGTCTTTAGCTGCAATGTAAATCCATTGTTTTCCCCAAAGGAAGTATGCTTCAAGCCCCATGCGAGTGAGTGCACTCTCAGAACCATACATAGCACGCTGCCAGAAATAATTTATACTGAGGTACTTTACTGTGGGAATAAAATATAAAACTCTTCCCACAGCCAAGAGTTCCATTAGAAAATGAAAAATTCGGCCTCAGCGCAGATACAAATGCTCCTGGCCAACTTTCCTGCTCTGGGTTTGTTTGGTGCTGTGCCCACTGCAATACCGAGGATGTAGGAAGGGCCTCTAATACAGATGGACTTAGCCAACGAGGCTTCTGTAACCTACCCAGAGCACAAGACACAGGAGGCCTGTGCCTCCCTGTATGAAGGAGGTGTTCAAATCAGGGGGCAGAGTCAATCCTGAATCCTACCAGCGTCGGTTACCTGGACTGGCCATAATCTCTGCTCTGTGCTCCCTTGAGCTGGTCTCGGCTGCCCACCTCTCTTTGCTAGTAGGTATACCATTGCCAGAAGGTAAGTGCTGGAAACCAGAGCTGTGGAGATCCAAACCATGCCATTGCTTCACTGGTTTACTGCTCTAGGAAAAGGACTGAGGGGAAGGATGAAAGTATTGAAGAAATAAAGGGGGGAATAATCTGTGGCTTTCAAGTCTTCTGCATCCTCCCATGGTCCCAGATAATCAAGAGATAAATATCCTCTGTGAAATATTTTACAGATGACAGAACAAAACTGTGCTAGATAAAGGTGTTTTGAGGCAGAAAACCAGTGCTCTCAATATCCTCTTATACCATATTTCTTTACAAATAAAAACAATGTGTATATATATATATATATATATATACTTATATGTATATATATATATATGTGTATATATATATATATATATACACATACATAGAAGTCTGGAAGAATATAAATCAAAATGTTAACAGTGATACACTTCAATTTATGTCAATTATACTTCAAAAGAGCTGCTTAAAAATGTAAAGAGTGGTTATCTCTAAGCTAGGAAAGATTATAGGCAGTTATTTTTTTTCTGCCTGTGTGTATTTTCCAAATTTTCTTGACTCTATATTCATTACTTTAATACTAAAAATGTGTAAAAATTATTTTCAAAAATCTTATACAATTCACTCAGTTTCTTGATGTTTGTGTAGTTTGCACTTTATCAAGTGTTTCGACATATTTAATCCATAAAACAGCAGAATGAAATATGATTATCATTTCAGAGAGGAGGAAACAGGCTCTGAGATGTTACAGAACTTGTTCAAAGAGCTAGTAAGTAGTAAAAACCAATAAAAGAATCCAGATCTCCTCTTCCAAACTCCACGACTTTTGTTCTCTTTTTCTCACTATTTACTGCTTCTTGTGTCTTGGCTGCTTAAATGCCACAAGTATACACTTTGAACAAAAGCAGTAGAATTACTGTATAAGATTTAAGCAAAAAGAAACTTTGTTTCAAATTCAGTATTGGTTCAGGAGAGAAATGTAAAATACCAGGGAGGTTTGGAGACCAAGAAGGCAATAGTCCAAGCGATAGAAAAACTTATCCTTTTAGTTGCGACCTCATATGCTCTTGGCTTCATTTCACCCCCATTCAGAAAGCGAAAAGGAAATGACAAAAATGGGATCGAAACATGCAGGGAGAGAAAGTACAGATGGCACCAAACAGTGAAATAAAGCGTGAAGTATTTAGACACTGCTGTACTGGAGGTACCTTCATTCCTGCAGCGGCTGCTGGGCCACTGGGATCCACGGCCTGGATGTGGCATGGCTTACTGCCTCGCACCACAAAGCCCCAGCCTACTGCGTCACCAACAATCTAGAGAGGAAAACCACAATTAGCCATCAGCAGACGGTCCCTGGCAGTGTGCCCGCCCTTCCAAGACAGAGAAAAGCCAAGACTAAAGGCATGCCATGAGATGTACCTCTTCACTTCATCTCTACCCTGTCAGGGGAACGGGACTCTTCTATCACAAACACAGGCTTATATCTCTGTGCGGAAAACATGGTCAAGAAACACCTGTTTGGCAGAAAGAAGCTCCTTCTGTGAGGTCACTACTCAGTCAATAACTGGCAGGTGGCCTCTTTCTTAGGCTGCTATGCCGTTGAATATCAGACTCAAATGGAAAGTCTGAAGATCTTAAAAATATGGTTGAAATTTCCCTCCAGATCCAATTTCTCTTCCCCTGCATCCAAAGGATACTTTCCTGATGATCTTGATACGTCATTGAACTTCTTTTTTACTGGAGTATAGTTGCTTTACAATCATTGAACTTTAAAGTAACCATTTAAATTACTAATGGGGGAAACCATGAAGAGTCCTGGCTCTCTTGAAACCCAATTTTCTGTACCAAGAAAAGACAGTGAAAAAGTACATAAAGTTCACTTTGGTCCAGTTCACTTCCAGTTGACCAGTTCACTCTGGTCCAAAAGTTGTTTGAAACTGGAGGGTGACTTTCCTTATAGAATCATAATTAGAATTGCCAGTTACATTCTCTGGGCAGATCCCAGACATGTCTCTAATACATACCCCAACTGAAATAGAGACGACAGCCATTCACAGTCAGTTACTAGCAATGCTGGCATTGATATTTAAAACCGAAAAGTACAGCTAAAAAATACAATCCAATGTCTCTTGAATGCTGGAGACTGAGGAAAAGTAGGGAAGCAACTGAAATTTTTGTGACCATTCTCAAAAAGACTTCTAGGGCAGGTTTTAGTGTCAATGAACTCTTATTAATTTTTGCTTGTCTGAGAAGTTCTTTATTAGGTACTTTATTGGCTTTAGGGTTTAGCTGCTATTAGTTCATTATACCTAATTGCACTTCCAAATGTCCAGTTTACCTTTCCCCTGATACAGACATATTACCAGTGCTTTTTTCATATTGACTGGCTAGGACTGGACCCATCCTGTTTTAATTCCTTAGTGCTCAGATCGTGAAGGAGTCCTCGACAAATGTTCGTAGCACAAATGAGTGTGGAAAGCTTTTTCCCCACCCCGAGGTATTAAAACAAAAATTAGAAGACTACAGGAAAGATGACAAGTATTTTAAAGAAGACGTCAATGTAGATGTGAGGAGATGAGGATGAGACAGAGCCAAGTCGACAGGAAGTGGGTGAGGTGATGTCAAGCAGAGAACGTGGATTCTGTTTGAAGAAGACCAGTGGGGGACTTCCCTAGTGGTCCAGCGGTTTAGACGCCATACTTCCACTGCAGGAGGCATGGGTCCGATCCCTGGTCAGGGAAGTTCCACATGCCTCGGGGTGCGGCCAAAAAAAAAAAAGAAAAGAATACCAGTGGGACCCTAGAAGTAGAAGGAAGGCTGAAGGACCTCCAAGAAAGGGCAGGTGGTCAGGAGGTGCTCACAGGTACGCAGTGCGCCCAAATCACGTGCTTGTACAACTCAAGGCACGATAACATTGTCAAAAACGTCATTCCTTATGGTAGAACAATCTATGCCATAGTTTTCTCTATCTTAAGACTTCCCTCATGTCTTAAATAATTTTTAGAATTAACTATAATGCAGAAGGGATTATTAGCATTATTTGTTCTACCATGTGCCTTTGAATCTGTCATTATATTAGAATAAGTACATAATGGAAATCTTTTTTTTAAGGACACATCAAAAGGAATTTTAAATGCTGTATTAATAATAAATTATATCAAGTCCTAATGCATTTTAGTGCCTAAAGGTCAAGAAAGTCTACTATCATAATCATGCTCAACAAAACAAAAGGGAAATTGGGAGGAGCTTTTCAATTCCGTCCCTAAGCTACGTATGTTTGTTTGTTTGTTTTTTGCGGTACGCGGGCCCACAGGATCCGGACGCGCAGGCCCAGCGGCCATGGCTCACGGGCCCAGCCGCTCCGTGGCACGTGGGATCTTCCTGGACCGGGGCACGAACCCGTGTCCCCTGCATCGGCAGGCGGACTCTCAACGAGTGCACCACCAGGGAAGCCCCCTAAGCTACACACGGACACACTGCCATGTTGACACGGCCCAGACAAACGAGCAGCACGGGAGAAAAACCAAATGATGAGCCTACCGTGAATGTCTTCCTCGCATACGGAGCCCCGGGAGTCAGGAGTTCCTCAGAAGTGACGGGTCTTTTTAACACTGTAAGACAGACACAGTGTCAAGGTACAGACCCTTCTGAGCCCTCTGTTCTTTCATTCAGCAGATATTTACTGAATGCCTCATGTGTGACATCAGTGACCAAAAGTGGCAAAGATCCCTGCCTCCCAGTTTATATTCTAGCTGCACAGAGGCAGAAAATATTAGCAAACATAAATAACCCTAAACCTAACTTACAGAGCTACAGAAAGCAGAGACGGGAGCAGGGGGAGGGGAAGCAAGAGTGCCAGGGGTGGGGTAAGAAGTGGCTTGACATTTTTCTATAAAGGAAAAGACCACATTTTCTAGTTCCTGAATTTCTTTCTCTTAGACCTTGATGTGCATTCAACATGTCAAAATTAAGAGAAATCCTTAAAGATGTAAAAAAAAAAAAAAAAAAAGAGAGAGAGAAATCCTGACTCTGGCCGTCTGATAACCGTTTCCACCCCAAACAAACCCCTCCCCCATCATACCATACACGCCCCATTCACCAAAGCCTCACGGATTTCCTTATTAATACCCCAGATTGCGGGTACGCACTGCCTTTTGCCTTGAGTCATAACACTGGGGAACTCTTCTGCATAATTAACATGTGCTAGGTACTATGTTAGGCGCTTTAAATATATTCTATTATTTAATCATCACAAGAACTAATGGGTTCATTTCATCCTCATCCCTATTCTATTCGGGAGGAAACAGAAGCTGAGAAAAGTTAAATAGCTTGCGTCCAAGGCCTCAGAGTCAACGGGAAGTAGAATTAAGATTTAAACTCGGGCTTCCCTGGTGGCGCAGTGTGAGAGTCCGCCTGTCAATGCAAAGAGAAGGGGTCCATGGTTGAGGATTCTGACCTTTTTATTCCCCGTCACTCAACTGCCTCCAGGCCCCTACCCACACAATCCCCTCTGGGGTTTATGAATGTGGATGTAGGAATCACACTGTACTTGTGATATTTGACAATATCGACCATTTATTTTTATTATACTTTTTCTCTATTTTTATTGAGATATAATTGACATATAACATTAGATTAGTTTCAGGTTGCAACATAATGGTGCATATATTATGAAATGATCAACTACTCCAGTTGACATCATCACCTCACATAGCTACAAACTTTTCTTTTTCTTGAAATGAGAGCTTTTAAGATCTACTCTCTTAGCAACTTTCAAATATACAACCCAGTATTATTAACCATAGTAACCTTGCTGTACATTACATTCCCCAGGACTTACCTATAAACTGGAAATTTGTACCTTTTGACCCCTTTCACCCATCTGGTCCACCCAACCACCAATCCCCGCCCACCGACCAACCCTCCTCTGCCAATCACCAATTTGTTCTCTGTATATATGAGTTTTTTGTTAGATTCCACATACAAGTGAGATCATATGACATTTGTCGTTCTTTGCCTGACTTACTTCACTTAGCACAATGCCCTCAAGGTTCATTCATTTTGTTGCAAATGGCAGGATTTCCTTCATTTTTATGGCTGAATAATACTCCGTTGTGTACGTGTGTACGTGTGTGTGTGTGTGTGTGTGTGTGTGTGTATTTATATACATACAAAAAAAGTACCACATTTCCTTTATCCATTCATCCATTGATGGGCACTTAGGTTGTTTCCATGTCTTGGCTATTATAAATAATGCTGCAATAAACATGGGGGTACACAGAGCTTTTCAAATTAGTGTTTTCATTTCCTTTCGATAAATACTCAGAAGTGAAATTGCTGGATCACGTGGTAGTTCTACTTTTAATTCTTTTTTAAGGAACCTCCATACTGTTTCCCACAGTGGCTACACCAATTTACATTCCCGCCAACGGTGCAAGAGGGTTCCCTTTTCTCCACACCCTCTCCAGCATTTGTTATATGTGTCCTTTTTGATGATAGCCATTCTGACAGGGATGAGGTAATATCTCATTGTGCTTTTGAATCACACTATATTGTAATATTTGGCAACAATATTGATCATTTAATACACTTTCTCTCTTATGTTAAAAAATGTAGAAACTTTGAAACCTAGGGAATTATTTCTAGCTCACTCTTTTCATATCCTTGGGAACTTATTTACTCATCACAATGATACTGATTATGTTACTTTCTGTAGCACTTTCTTTATCTGAATTAGGGCATTTATATACAGTGTTAAAAATATATCCTGATGGATATCTAATGATTAATTTTAAATGCCTTACTGTGAAGCCTGCTTACCCGCTTGAGAGAAAAAAAAAATCACAGATGAGCTCCCTGCATCTTGGGAACCCTCTTAGAGTAAAAGAGAAGCTTGTCAGAATACAGGTAAGAGGTAGGACTTATGAACCACAATGAAGTCCTGACAGCTTTGGTCCTTAGAGACCCAGAAAAGGCAACCTGACCTTTCTTTTCTGCCTGCAGATCAGTAATATTTTCCCTTTGAGTCAAGGGCTTAAGGAGAAAGAGGAAACAATGCAAACCTGCCTCAGGGAAGATGAATGTGTAATTTAAGCAATTAACACTTTGTTCATCTTCTACTCTGGTAAGCAATCAAAAACATGTAAAATGGCTTTGGCACAACTAACCCTTTCCTGAAACTGAACGGCTTTTGATTCTAACTTGGAGGTATCAGATTTCTACCAGGGCTTCAAACATGCTATTTCAAACAATATAGTTCTTCTCATTCTACCTTATTAGCAGTGCTCTATTAATTGAAAAACCTGGTAATATATGATGGGTGCTGGAAGATTTTCCAGCCAGAGACAGTGTGGAAGCAAGTTTCTTCATTCACTTGCAGGTTACAACTTTATTCTTAGAGCTAACCCTCCAGAAGACAGCAAAAAAAAAGAAGAAAAAAAAGAAAAAAAAAGTTAGATTAAGAAAAATACCTAGACAACAGCATTAGATGACTGTTTTCTCTTAAAGCCCTTTAACAACATCTATTTGTCCTTATTCTCATGAGTGCATTATTTTTTTCCTCAAAGAGATGATGTGTTCACTGAGCGATGGGGTCATGACCTCTCATCTTTGTATACCCAGCATCTGGTAATAAGGAAACGGCATGAACAAAGGAACAAAGTGCCTTCCCTGAAGGTGATACACGGAAACTGAGGGTAGACAGGGCACTAAACAAATGGAGTGGAAGGTGGTTTCAAGGCCATGGTTATCACGATGGACCAGGCAAGCTCATCCTGGAAAGGAGGTGGGTTAAGCACAGTGAGAAGGTGGTGGTATCAATGGGTTACAGGTTCCTGTGGGGCTTGAAGAACTGATTAGATCTAAGTACAAGTTCATTAACAATCTTTGTGCCTAGGTTTTTTTCCTGGAATGTAAAAGCCATGGAGGTTGGTGAGTAGAGTTTGAAACCACAAGGCACCAAGAGTCCACTGCAGGGATGGCTAGGTTTGCAGAGATCCAAGCTTCTTCCTTAGGGGTGCAGAGACCCAACAGATCTTTGCATCAGTTGCAGTCTGGGGCAGCGCTATCTCCCCTGCTGTTTGCTGCTCAAACCTTCCTTCAGGACTGAGTGTTTCCTCCCAGTGCTGGGACTGCTAACAGGAGACAGCCCTCAGACAGCCAGTGTTCTCAACTGTCCTTGGAACTCTCTCTCCAAAGACAGCCGCTTTCCCCAGGTCACGCCTTCCTCCCAGGGGCAGCCAACATCCAATGACTGATCAAGGTGAGGGTATAAAAGCCTGGCCACCTCACCCCAAGCCGGGACAACTCTCAAAGACCATCCCAACTCCAGAGCTCCACCTGGGGCGAGCCGCAGCCTTCACGGGGCCTGCACTGCAGCCCAATTCTCCCTCGGCCCAAACCCGCGTCCTTCCCTTCCATCCAAGGGGTGCTGCCCCCCAAGAGCACAATGTAACAAGATGCTCCCACGCTAGTCTCCCTCTGCCTGAGAATCCGCTTCCCAGGGAGCCCCGCCTGCACACAGGCCCAGGTCCCCCACAGTCACGGTCAGAGACGGGGCCGCTTGTCAGCCACTCACCAGACTTGGGGTTGCAGAGCACGGGGGGGCTGCCGCTGGCGGGGGGGCTGCCGCTGAAATAGCTGCTGCCGCCGCAGCTGCTCATGCTGCTTCTCCGCATGGCAGACACGATCTTGACCTCCTTGCTGGGGCTGACTGTGGGCCGGGAACACACAGAGTCACCGACGGTGATGGTCTCGGCTCCCCAGAGCATGCACGCCGCCTTCAGCTGCCAGGTACAGTGAGGCAGGTCACGTGTGCCGGAATAAAGCACTCTGGCCTTGGCGTCGGAAAAGCAAGGGTTTGAGTGGCAGCTCTGCCCCTGACGAATAGCACAGCCTGGGGCCATTCCCTCCGGTTTTCTAAACGTAGTTTCCCCAACTGTAAAGTGGGCAGAATGCCATCTCATGGGACTGGTGCACGGAGTGGATTATATATTTAAAAGTACTCAATTACATAAAATATTATTTTAAGAACTACCGAGTCCACGCTAAGCATCCCTGAAAGGATGTAAATTAAGTGCTGGCGAGACGCTTAATGAGTTAACGGTGATGATAAGTGCCTCCTGGTTGAAGATTAAATCTTTAATCACCCAGAGCCACAGAAGAAGGAGATTAAAACACAGAGCACAACTTCAGGCTTTGAAGGTGTATGTGAGGCAGCAGCTTCAGTGATATGATCTCGTTTTCTCCACTATGGAGTTGGCTGGCTCTCAACGAGGGAAAGACAGCAAGGCATGTGATCCAATGAAAGAAACCATGGAGAGTGCTCTGCTCAGTGCCCGGCACATGGGAAGCACAAAATCAAGGCTGGCTTTTATGGTGACCATGGTTACTGTATCCTTCTCATCATCACTTGTTCACGTCTACGGGGCCCACTGAAAAACAGGCAAAGCTCAGTACCAGCGAAGACGTGAACGGTTCCTCTGCATCTGTAGGAGACGGCAGCCTTAGGGACACACAGCTGGTGCGCATCTAAGCACAGGCCTAGGCTCCTGACCCTTGGCTAGTGTTTACTTTCCTGGAGTGGCTATTGGCTCCTTCTCTGCTCCATCCCAGCTGTGTCTGAGGAACCTGGGATGTAGAAGGTTGGGTAGGAGCCGGTATAATATAAGCACTGGGATAAGACAGAACTGGTGCAAGACCCAGCCCTGTCCATCACTTTCTAGCTGTGTGACCTTGGGTAAGCCACTCAACTTCTCCATGCCTCAGTTTCTTCACCTGTAAAATGGAGATAAGAAAAGTCTTTCCTCGAAGAGTAACAGTAAGAATTAAACGAGAAAATGTATGCAGCTAAGCTTGGATCTGTGCCAAGGGCACAGAAAGTTCTCAATACGTCTAGTTGTAAGTGTTCTCACGGTCCGCTCCTATTCATAACCAAGACACATTTTCATTTTGCTCTGGGTTTCAGGTGAAGCCCATAACTTCCAAACCTTAGGCCAATCAGTTTCTCAAGTCAATGTCAAGTTTTCAGAGGAGCTGAAGATATACTGTTAAGCACCTCACCCACTTACACAGAATGACACATCAAGTTAACCTTTTCTGGGTGAATGGGATTATTTTATATTATTTTATTTTTTGTTTAAATGGGGTTATCTTTGCGAACAACAGTCATCATTTCTGTCCAGGTTAACTGTCAATATGGGACAGTCTGACCTAACATATAATGTCCCAGGCTGCTGTAATTTCTGAGCACCCGTGTCTACCTTTCTTAGTTTTAATTTGTTCTGTGTGATGGATTGACAATCAGTTGCCTTTTAGTTGTATATGCCTTAAGAAGACTTTATTCATCCTTAAAATATATAGCTTCTCAATGCTGTGACTTAGAAAACTGGATAATTAACGATATGTAAGGATTGTTTGCAAACGAAAAGTAAATAAGGTAGGAGTGAGAGCTTGAGCGATCTTCTATAATTCAAATACATAGTGTTATAAAACAGACTTCTTAGCATGTATGTTGGCTGCACAGGAACGCTCTGGTTGTATGTGTGTATGGTTTCTTTTGGGGGGAGTAATAAATAAATAAAATTTATAAATAAATACAAATTTGCTGGAGAACAGAATTTCACAGAGGTGAGTTATAACTATGCTATTTCTCAAAAGACAGATATATATGATCAAACAAACAAGGGAACTGACATACCTGACATAAAACTGGTAGATTTCCGATTGTCATGGCTCTGCTTCCTCAGGCAGAAGGGGCTGTCATGAGTTTCCTGGGAGGAGGGGGATTTTTCATTGAGCAGCTCCATCAGTCTTCGCCTCCGCCGGAAGTTCATTCTGAACTGGTAGAGAAGATTGCTGTCCACAAACGGGTGCTTGTTGGACACTGGGGAGAAGAAACAATAGATGAGGGCTGCCTGGCCACTAAGCACTGTAGCCAGGAGACTCCAGCCAACAGGAGCAAAAGTCTTGAGGAAGGGTTTAGTTCTACAGATGTCCCAGGAGCTTGCAGTCCACACATGGTCCCAGATTCTTTCCACATGTCATGCATTTAAAAAATCTGCTAACCAATTCCTCTGGGGGAACTCTGCCTGATCTCACCCCAATCTAAGCTATACTCCTCCTGGTATTGTGCAGGCTCCTACTTTACCTCCATCTGAGCACTTGTCGCACACGCTCTCATTGTCCCTCAACTTCTCTGTCTTTCCCACTAAAGTCTAGGCTCTTTTGGGGCAGTGATCGTGGCTTCATTTAGTCATGTGTCCACTGGGCCCAGCACACTGCTTGTCCCAGAGCAGCACGGCCATTCATTTTTAAACTTTTTATCTTGTGATAATTATAGACTCATGGAGAGTTGCAAAATAATATAGAGACCACATAGTATATGATTCCATTCATATGAAATATCTAGAACAAGGAAATCTATAGACACAGAGTAGACTGGGTGGTTGCCAGGGGCTGGAGGGGATCTAGGGGGTTGGGGATGTTAACTAAAGTGTGAGATTCCTTTTTGAGGTGATAAAAGTGGTCAAAATTGACCGTGGTGATGACTGCATATATCTGTGAATATACTAAAAACCAATGAATGGTATGCTTTAATATGAGTGAATGGTATGGTATGTGAACTATATCTCACCAAAGCTGCTGAAAAAATCAACAGCAACAATAGTAGAGTCCCCGTGTACTCTTCACCCAGATTCCCCCAATGATTTCATCTTACAGAAATAACTAAAGTACAATATCAGACAAAGACACTGACATTAGTACAATCCATAGACTTTATTCAGATTTCACCAGTTTTTACGTGCACTCATTTGCGTGTGTGTGTGTGTGTGTGTGTGTGTGTGTGTGTGTGTGTGTGTATTTTTAGGCAATTTTATCACATGTATAGATCTCTGTAACCACCACCACACTCAAAGCACAGGACTGTTCCATCATGACAAAGGGACTGCCTCATGCTAACCCCCGATAGCCTCCCACTCCAAATCCTTAATGTCTGGCAACCATTAGTATGTTCTCCATCTCTGCAATGTTACCATTAAGTGAATTTTATAGAAATGGAATCAAACATTATGTAGCTGTTTAAGATTGATGCTAAATGAATGAATGGCTATCCAGATAAAGTCTGGTTACTTCCCAAGGAAAATCTACACTTTTGAGCACCTAATCATGCCAGGCCATCAACTCAAAATCAATAATAACAATAGCTAACCTTCATACAGCATTTTCTATGAATTTAGCATTATTTTAAATGCTTTATTTGTATTAATTCCTTTAATTTTAACAACAGCCCGGAGTATAGTTGCTGTTACTTTCTTCCTTATTTTTTGATGAAGAAACTGAAGCCCAGAGATATGAGTAAGACCCAAAGAAGACACAGTAAATGGCAGAGGTAGAAATATAACTACAGTATCTGACTCCAGAGTTCAAGTTCCAAATTACTACTCTCAACTGCCTCTCTGAAGAACAATTCCTGTGCATCTTTAGGTTCTCATAAAGAACTGAAATAATGTTACATAAAACTGCTAATGTATGGCTACCAGGCTAAATTTACATCCAATTCTACATTACCATTTATATCTCGGGGATCTATTGTGGTCTATTCGCAAGTTTATATTTTGAGTTCTAATCCTGGAGTTGTGAAACAGGCAAGACATCAGGCTCCAAAACCCATGTTCCTAGGTCATTTTGTCTCTGGGAAGTAACCAAGAACCCTGCAAACTGGCCAGCGTCATGCTGAAGTCTCAACCCCCCAAAATTCAAAACAATTGAACAGATTTTAGAAAAAAAAAAACTAATAAGCACGTGAGAAGCTCAACCTCATTAGTTAATATGGAAATGCAAATTGAAATCACAATGAGATGCCACTTCACACCCACTAGAATCACTAAAATAAAAAGAATGACAGCATCAAATGTCGGTGAGGATATGGAGCAACTGGAACTCTCATTTTGCAGGCAGGAATATAAATGGTAAAACCAGGTTGGAGAATAATCTGACAGATCTTATAAAGTTATACACATATCTACCCTATGTCCCCACAATTCTTAGGGATCCACCCACAACAAATAAAAACATATATCACCCAAAATGTTCATTGCAGCCTTATTCATAATAGCCAAAAACTGGGGACAACCTGTCCATCAACAGGAGAATGGATAAATAAATTGTAGGTACAATGAAACACTACTTGACAATAAAAAGGAATGAGCTGCTGACACATAAAACAACGTGGATTAATATCAAAAGCATTAAGTTGAGTGAGAAAAGCCAGACACAAAAAACATACACTGAGTGACTTAATTTACATGAGGTTCAAGAATAGAGGAAATTCACATATAATGATAGAAATCAGAAAGGGGAAGGGGAGAGGATTGACTGGAAAGGAGTAGGAGGAAATTTTCTGGGGTGATGAAAATGTTCTATATCTTGTTTTTACATGAATATATACATTGTCAAAATGCACCAAACTCAACATTTAAGATATGTATATTTCATTGTAGGTTAAGTATATGTATGTTAATAAAAAGGAAACAAACAACAACAACAACAACAAATCTTATAAATGGACTGGGAGACTACGAACAACAGAGTCTTAACAGGGACGTCCCTAGTGGTCCAGTGGTAAAGAATCCACCTTCCAATGCAGGGGGCACGGGTTCGATCCCTGGTCAGGGAACTAAGATCCCACATACCGCGGGCAACAAAGTCCGTGCGCCATAGATACAGAGCCCACGTGCCCTGGAGCCCGCGGGCCACAACTAGAAAGAAGGCCATGCACCTCAACGAAGACCCCGCATGCCGCAACTAAGACCCAACACAGACAAAAAAAATAAATTAATTAAAAACAAAAACAAAAAATAGAGCTTAACACTGTAAACCCACATTGCCAATATAAGATGCTACATAATGTTAATGCCCAAATAATCATTTGGCTATTAACCACTGGGCATATGGTCAGTCTCAGAAAGGAGTGGTCCTATTATAGTATAATTCACCCACTAAATGTGCATAGTTCTATACATATTCTAGTCTATAATATATTCACAGAGTTGTGCATCCCATCATCACACTCCATTTTAAAACATTTCCATCACCCCCAAAAGAAACCCAACACTCCTTAGCTATCACTTCCAATCTGCCCATAACCCCTAGGCAACCCCTAGGCAAGCACTAATCAACTTTCTGTCTCTGTAGATTTGTCTATGTTGGGCATTTCATATAAATAGAGTCATATAAGATATGGTCCATTGTGACTTGCTTCTTTCACTTGGCATAATGTTTACAAGGTTTATCCATGTAATGCCATGTATCGGTACTTCACTACTTTTTACCGCCAAATAATATTCCATTGTATGGACATACTATATTTTGTTTATCCATGCATCAGTTGATGGACACTTGAGTTGTTTTCACTTCCTGCTTATAATGAATAATGTTATTAACATACATATACAAATTTTGGGGGGACATATGTATTCATTTCTCTTAGGTTTACGACTAGGAGTAGAATGGCAGGATCATATAGTAACCCTATATTGTATGCCAGATTCTTCTCCAAAGAGGATGCCCCATTTTACATTCCCACCAACAGAGTAGGGGGTCCTAATTGTTCCACATCCTTAGCAACCCTTGTTATTCTCTATCTTTTTTATTACACTTGTCCTAATGGCTGTGTAGTGGTATCTTATTGTGATTTTCACTTGCATTTCCATGATGGCTAATAACGTTGAACATATTTTTATGTGCTTATTGTCTATGTGCCTATCTTCTTTGGAGAACTGTCTAACCAAATCCTTTGTCTATTTTTTTAATTGGATGGTCTTTAAAAAAAAAGAGATTTATTTTTTAAAGCAGTTTTAGGTTCACAGCAAAACTGAGCAGAAAGTGCAGAGTTCTCATATACTCTCTGCCCTCCAACACACAACTTTGCTCTACCATCAATTATCGAGAAAGGAACAGATGTTACAATTGATGAATGTACACTAATGTACACTAATACATCATTATCCAAAGTCCATAGTTTACATTGATGTTGAACATTCCACGGATTTTGTCAAATGTATCTACCATTATATTAGTTTGGCCAAAGAAGTTCATTCAGGTTTTTTCTGTAAGATGTTATGGTATATAGTATCATACAGACTATTTTTGCTGTTCAAAATGTCCTCTGTGTTCTACCTATTCATCCCTCCTTCCCCCCAACCCATGGCAACCACTGATCTCTTTACTATCTCCATAGTTTTGTCTTTTCCAGAAGGTCATATAGTTGTAGCCTTTTAATATTGGCTTCTTTCACTTAGTGATATGCATTTAAGGTTCCCCTAAGTCTTTACATGGCTTGATAGTTCTTTTTGTACTGAATAATATTCCATTGTCTGGATGTATAACAGTTTATCCATTCACCTACTGAAGGACATATTGGTTGCTTCTAAGTTATGATAATCATGAATAAAGCTGCTATAAACATCCATCTGCAGGTTTTTGTGTGGACATAAGTTTTCAACTCCTTTGGGTAGATACCAAGGAACATGATTGCTGGATCACACGGTAAGAGTATGCTTACCATACTGCCAAAACCCCTTGCAAAGTGACTGTACCATTTTCTATTCCCACCAGCAATGAATGAGAGTTCCTGTTGCTCCACAACCTTGTCTGCATTTGGCATTGTCAGTGTTTTGGATTTTGGCCATTCTAATAGGTGTGTAATGGTATCTCGTTGTTTCAGTTTGGAATTTCCTAAACACATAGGATGTTGAGCATTTTTTCATATGTTTATTTGCCATCTGTATATTTTCTGTCAGAAGGTGTCTGCTCAGGTCCTTGGTCTGTTTTTAAAATCAGGTTGTTTGGGCTTCCCTGGTGGCGCAGTGCTTGAGAGTCCGC